TGCACTTACATTGTAATTATAGATAATGGAATGAATAGATAGTTTTGACAAATTTGAACAAACATCTGATTCAACGAAAGGAAACATGGCAACACTGTACGCTGTATTTAACGATTCTACTGACGCGCTATATTTGAATAACTAGATTATAGACTATAAAATTATTCCAGTTGAAAACATATGTAGTAATAATTAATATTAAATAAATTTTAATATAATAGTAATTTGAAACAAAAATTGAAAGGATCTCTTTGCAAAACAAACAGTATAGATGTTCTGTCATAATTCATTCAATTTGACAAGGCGACGTCTCACTACCGTACACTGAGCTTCTTGATAGTTATCATATGGATTCTCGGTTTGCACATTTTAATTTTTTCTCCTTAATCCATATTCTATTTCATACGCATTTTATATTACTTTTTAGTCATTACTTTTCCTTTGTATCTTGGATGTTCATTCATGTTTACGGTATGCGTGCTAAGCACAGTTGACAGTTGAACCAACTTTTACTACCACGCTATACTGATGTACAATGTTGCCAGATTTCACCCAAAGTTTTACGAGCTCTTAATGAATAAATAGACACTTATTCAAATAAAAAGTTAATTGCCGTGCATTAAACACGAAAAATATATGCGAACTTATATGTGTTCAACTCAAATTAGTTTGTGTAAGGTTGGTACTACAACGAAACGCTCATGTATAAGCATAGGCTTCTCTCCCGCACCGCCTGCCCCGCAAGAAAAAAATTTATAAATCTACTAACCTCCTGGAAGATTATGACGAGTTTAAAATAAATGATCATCCCTCAAAATTAACAAAAAAAAATGCTTATAACAATTTCATTAGTGACGTTAAAAACGCAATAAAATCCAATCCTAATACTTTCTGGAGTTTTCTGAATTCAAAAAAGGATACCAGTTCTATACCTTCATCTATGATAAATAATGACCACGTTATAAATGATCCTCAATTAATCATTGACACATTTGCGGCATTCTTTTGCGACACATTCGTTTTCTCTGATGAATTTAATAACACTGTGGAAAGTAACAATTGTCATGTATTACATTTGATAAAAATCTCTGAGTCCAATATTATAAAGGCAATTAAAAGACTAAAAAACAATATGTGTATGGGCCCCCAGTATTCTTGATTAGAGATTGCGCTGTAATCTTTTGCAAACCTTTGCTTATCCTATTCAATCATATACTTGCATCTGGTGAATTTCCTGATGTCTGGAAAGTATCGCGTATAACGCCTGTTCATAAGGAGCAAAAAATGAATTCTCAAATTATAGGCCCATTGCTATGTTAAGCAATTTTTGTAAGGTGTTTGAGACTATTTTGCACAATTTTATATCATCCCATACTTCAAATATAATTATCCCTGAACAGCACGGGTTCATACAAGGACGGTCAACAATTTCAAACTTACTGTGTAAGACACAATATATTTCTGCAGCTCTTGATGTCGGAAGTCAGGTCGACGTCATTTATACGGATTTTTCTAAAGCGTTTGATAGACTCGATCACTCCAAACTGTTAAATAAACTTAGCAATGTAGGTATATGTAATAGTTTAATAAAATTATTTCATTCATATCTCCGTAACCGATCCCAATATGTGCAATATCGTGGGTTCAAATCAGATACGTTTCTTCAAACATCAGGTGTACCTCAAGAGTCCATACTTGGACCTCTTCTGTTTGATATTTCTATTAATGATATTGCGGAAGATCTAAACATTAATTATTTATTAAATGCTGATGTAAAAATATTTAGTCAGATCAACCCTGTTTTGAACTGTGAGAATCTTCAGAGTAATAAAAACACGTTGCCTCTTAATATTAGCAAGTGTAATGTTATGTCCTCATAGGAAAAAAGTGCCTATGACGTTCGATTATGTATTGCAAGGCAGTGTTCTCAAGAGGCCTGATTGTATTAAAGACCTAGGTATTATTTTTGACGCGCAGTCGAGTTTCTTGCGGCACATCCACGGTTTCTTAGCCGATGCGTATAGGAGTCTCAGATTTGTTTTGAGAAACTCTCGAAGATTTCTGAAACCAGTCCACTCTGCGATTATTGTATACAACTTTTGTAAGATCTAAATTAGAATATGGTTCAGTTATATGGAACCCAATTTATGTTACATATACCTTCTTATCAGAACGGGTCCAACGAAGATTTTTTAAATGTGCCGCATTTCTGTTGGATGGGGTTTATCCTGCCCGAGGTACTCCACAAGAATTATTCTGTGCTCGGATTAACCTACAGAGTCTTACTAGCAGACATACCATGCACAGTTTAATATTTTTATATAAAATTATTCACTTCAAAATTAAGTGTGAGTCCATTAATCAGCAGTTGTCATATAGAGTTCCGAGAGTGAATTCTAGGAACTATACTCTATTTATGTTACCCTTTGCCCGTACCAATTTATTATTAAAGTCTCCTTTATATCAAATGTTGAGCAATTGTAATAATATGGAGGGTTTTGATATTACTTTTTGTAATATAAGAGATGTCATACTTTAATTAGGTCTATTGTGTATAATTTTTTGTAATTTTAATATGTATATTTTTTCATTGTTTTTGACTGTTCTGTTGGTTGATTTTATTGACTTTCACTTATATACAGGGTATCCCAAAAGTGACGCCTGTCGTTATGGATTTTGATTAAGGGAACAAAAACAAATCAAAAACAAGTGTGGAAATTTTCCTATTGTTTTTCTTTGTTGAGTTATTCAAAAAACTATAAATAAACATTTGGGCTGGGTTATTAAATATTTATGTAGTTCAAAGCTGCATTTGCTGCAGCTCTATGTTTTTAAATAAAAACTTACAATTGCCATTGCTGGATGACATTCCGTTAGCAGTTAGACTAAATTATTGGTTTCAACATGATGGAGCTCCATCACATTATGGTTTACGAATATAAAATTTAGTTATCTAAATCAAAATTTCCGAGACAGATGGATTGGAAGAGGTGGACCATGGCCTCCTAGATCACCAGATCTGAATCCCCTAGATTTTTCTTTTGGGGTTATTTAAAAGAAAAGATTTATTTAGTTTTGAGAAAAAAAATGGATTTTCACTTTTTTAGTTTTTTGAATATTTTTTTGAATAACTCGACAACGGAAAACAATCGGAAAATTTTCCACTCTTGATTTTCAATTCGTTTTTGTCTCCTTAATCAAATCCCAGAAGGACGGGTGTCACTTTTGGGACACCCTGTATATATTACTATTGATAGTAAAATTTTGTATTGTTGTGTATTGGTCTTTTTTTTATTCTTTTGTAACTTTTATATTAATTTTTAGGATGATTTTGAGTGCTTCTTTTCATTAATGTATTTTTTTTCTTGTACTAAAACTTATCCTTTAAGTAAGTGGATTTCACCCGTTGGATATTTTAAGAGTAAATAAATAAATAAATAAAAGAGATCTATCGAACCTCCTTACGTAATGTTTGCGTGGCGAACACCCACTCAACAAAAGTAACTCGCGGCGAATGGTGTGGAATTATGCATGCGCTGCAACTAAAGCGTAACGTTATTTGAGGTTACACTAGCTTTTCCAGTAGTGGGGTAAGAAAATTACCAAAAAAAAGGTTTAAAAAAATAAGTTTAATTACTAAAAATAGGTTTAAAAAAAATAAGTTTTACGACGGAATTTGAAAAAATTAACTATTGATATGTGTTTCTAAATGTCAAAGGAAGCCTCTGAATAAATTCATTCATTCAAAGTTACACCCTATATGTACCCATTATTATTTTAATTATTTGTTAATTTTGTTGTCATTTAACTTGAAACAAACGAGAACAATATCTTTTAAATTATTTTTTGTCTGCACTTCTTATATATGTGCAATCTTTTTCTTTAAAATGTATATGGGTAGAAATCCCTATTTTAATTTATTTTGTAAATTTCAGTTTTTTATGGATGTTCTCTGTGAATAGAGCTGAAATTCCCTAAAAAAATAAGGTACCCTACGCTTCATTATCAAAATGTAACCATTTTAATTTTCACCAACCACCACTGCTATCTAGTGTAATATCTAATCTGTATTCAACTCTATGTAAATGCACAGAACAGATTAACAATATATTATGTGTAATTTCTTAAAAAATTGCTCTAAGTATGAATATTTCAAACTATCAAACAATTTATTTGTTCATCAAAATTTTTTGAAAGTCACAAAAGAGGCAAATTTTATTGACAGTTAAGTATGCTCGAGATATTACATATTAGCCCTTTTCTTTTATTCATGATTTCGGAATCATAACGCGTTACGATCCGATGGAAACCAATCAGGTTGCTAGATTTCAGATCATAACGCGTTATGATTCTGAAATCATGAATAAAAGAAAACGGCTATTACAGGTGCAAAAAATAAACAAAATATATTTCCCTAGGCCAAACTAACACATCAGAAAATTAAATTTAAATGAACTTGAATGAATTCCACAAGCATATTTTAAAAGACTAAATCAGGATAAAAACAGTGGGGTATACTTCCTAAATTACTTCACTTCGAATATCAGTAGGTAATATATTTTTGTTTGATTTTTGCCAGAATAAAAAAAATTACAATTTTAAATAACTGCTTGTGTCAAACGGATCAGAGAAAAGTATATTTTTGCTTAACGAGAATACACATAAAAGATAAAGTAATATCACACTATTTTATATTTTGTAACCTTTATCAGTTTTGAACCCTTTATGCTACAGTAAATAATCACCTCATTCTCTAACTCTGCAATAACGCCACATGTATCACAAGACAATTTCAACACAATTTTTCAAAATTTTCTAATTAGTATGAATTTACGTGTCTCAATAATCTACGAAAAATTTCAAAAACTGAATGTAATAATATACACTGATATGTATTTACCACTATATGAATATTCTTTCCCTCATTTCTATAAAATTTAAGTGTTGAACATATGGCCTTATTGAAATGAATGTGCAATTTGTCAAAAAAATATAGGTACCTAAAAATATTGGATCTATTGGGGTAGAGAGATGCATTTTCCCATCACTTTTAACTGAATCATCTATAAACCATGATCTTTTTCCTTCAACAAATGTTAAAATTTCTTGAACAGAATTATTTGCTGCAGAAAATAAAAATATTGCCGAGTCCCCAGTACTAGGATGTCTCAAAGTAACAATATCTGGGGTTCCACTTCCAGTGTATTCAGTATGTTCAGATAATTCTATTGCTTCACCTAAAATAAATGTACCTATAATAATAATAAATTTATCAATAATCGATTTACAACCTTTTAATAAAATAACCCAAGAATTGGTTGGATGTTGAACGTTGGTTTTTATACATTTTTTTGGCGATGCTTTAATACGCGGCATCTTACGATCAGCACTATATCAATAAAAAAACTTTAAATATAGGTATTATTTAATATTTATAACAAACAGCGTCTACAACGCATCCCACAAATCGCATAGCACAAATCGTTCTGAACCACGAACCACGACATATACAATATACATAAGCCATAGAAAATATAGTTACTCTATATTTTCTTTGTACATAAGCTCTTAAGAGGGCGATTTCTGCCACCAGGGATATTACTAAATTGCAATATATAGCTAGGATAAGAACCTCGCTATACAGCGGTAGAATAATATAAGGTCAATATAAGTATGACTTTTGAACAGAAGGTGTCACAGGCATACCGTGGAATTAATGCCAACTCCTAATACATTTAAGTGTAACATCAGTTGCAGTTTAAATTGACATGACGGACGGCTTAAAATTTACTTCAATATAAAAACATGGACAAAAAACGGATGACTCTGTTTCCCTACTCCTTTCCATTTTTTTGAAGCTCCGCGCTTCGGTTTATTAGTCCAAGCATTTGTCGTCGTACCTCGCTTTCACCTGTCCTTAAATTGTGGCTCTCAGGGTGTCTGGATATTGTCGTCGTACCTCATCTCCCGTTGCTTCACTTACCATTAGGTTGCGGCTCTCAGGGTTTCTGGACATATTATAGGCTTCTCGCGCCGTCGCGCTGGACTCTGCTCGAGATGTAGCTAACCTGGTAAAATTGCGTTTAGGCATGGCTAGGTGAGAGGACGCGATCTAATTTTGTAACAACTTGTCTATCCCTTAGATAGGATGTATGAGAGGTTTGACTTTAACAAAGGGAATTTGGATTAGAATGATATGAGATATAGGATCGGTATTGGAAAGATAGGTGAAAAGTGACTTTAAGCGCCAGTACGTCCCGCTATCTCTGATATTTGAGCTCAGGCGGCTATGAGAGCCGTTAATTAGGCAGTTTGTATATACAGGGTGTAACTAAATAAGTGTAAAACATTTAAGGGGGTGATTCCTCATCGAAAAATAGATAGGATCTTTCTTATAAAGAAACTTCATTGGAGCATCCCTTGTTAAGATACAGCCCCTTAAAGGGGGTACATAAAATTTGTTTAACAATTTTTTTCACAAGCACTAAACAAGTTACAATATTGAAATTAACCTGACATTTTCTACTACCAAAAAGACACTTAGCCAGTAATTTATTTGGTTTACCCCATGGT